GATAATAAGTGAGTACTGACAATGACGCAGACATGGATCATGTGATATAATTTTGGTACAGTCAGTGCATACAATGCAAACCGTTTGAATTTATTTACTTATTTTTTTATTCAATTGTAATTTCAAATTTGCAAGCAAAGTGAAAGGGGGGTGTCAGGTGATGATGTGATGATGCAGGGGTAGGTTGGGCGGGGCAGAGAGAGGGTCTAGAATTATTATATATATATATATATTTAATTCATTCATTATAAGGAAATGACATTAATTATTATGTTATTTTGTTTTTGCTTTTATTATTTTTATTTTTGTAAGATCAATCTTTTATTTATTTTATTGTTTATATTTTTTATTTTTTAAAATATTTTTTTGAATTATTTAACCGTTGCAAGTTGTTTTTTATTTTTATTTTTTAAAATTTGGCCATTGGTAAATAGAGGGTCAAGTCGGGTGGGTAAAGTCAGGCCGTCCGTAGGGCTCAAAATTTTTTGGGCTGGACCGGGTTTCAAATAGAAGGCCCATGCTCGGGCCCGAAGTATAGGCCTAGGCCCAAGGTACTGGGCTGGGCTCGGGCCCTAGCTTAACTTGGCCGAAATGGGCCGGGCCCACCTCAAGCCACGGGCGGGCTTCGGGCCGCCGACAAAAGCCTCGGGCCATTTTTACACCACTAGCCTTCGTTTGACAAAAGTTAAAATGGGATTTTTTTAGCTAAAATAGTCACAAAAAGATAAAATAAATTTTTTAGTCAAATAAAATAAAATGTCACATCTGAAGCATAATCATTTCATTTTTTTCTCTTACAAGAGTCAAAAAAATCAAAAAAAAACTTATTCCAAATGTGTCTTTTTAGCCATAGGTTAAAATAATTAAAAAGTCAAAAATTCAACACACATTCCAAATGAACCCAAAGATAAGTGTCTAATTGTCTCTAGAAGGGAGACAAAATGATAATGAATCTCACCGATTCAATCAATGATAGTCAAGTTGGAGCACCACATAATATTGTTCTAGGAGCAAAGAATAATTTCAGGGAGGTTATGGTGTGGAGAAATTATTTATTGTCTCATAGTGTTGTCCCACCTATTAATGTTTGGACAAGTCTTCAGTTGTCTCCTTCAAAGAAGACAAACAAACAATAGAATTCACTGTTTTAACTAATAATAATTAAATTGACATACCACCTAAATTTGTCCCTGAAACCATGAATAATTTCTCTATGGTGTGCCATCTGAGTGGACCTATCTGAAACGGAAATTTTAGAAGAAAAAAAAAAAGAAAAAAAAAATATACTAGCAAAATATTTTTATTAAATTGGAAAAGTTCAGGATCTATCGACTGGTCAATCGAAAAAGGTTATGGAATGATTTTCACAAAACAGTTAAAAGATTTATTGGCCAGTCAATCGAAAAAGGTTAAGAAACGATTTTAATGTTATTAAAAAAAAATACAATAATTCATAAGTTTAAGATAATTTATTTTTAATAAAATTAAATAAATCAAAATTATAATAGAAAAGATGTAAATATATATATATATATATTTTTATATAAAATAAAGATAATATAATTTTCTCATTTATATGACTAACCTCACTAATAAGTTCATTCTTATCTTGTCAAAAAGTCATGGTCACGCTGATGCTAACCACGGTTAAATAGCATTTTATTTTTTAAAAAACATGTGCAAGACTTTCTTTTCATTACAGTTATGTATTCCAATTGGACCGTTAATAGTTTGATGTTGGTATAAATACTGCCTTCGTTGGCAGCAATTATTGTATTTACCTATTGATCCTTGACCGCTCTAATATATTAAAATTTACAATTTTAGTATAATTTCATTAAGATCCTTGCATATTTTAAATCATATAAGATTTTAGTCTTATTTTCATCAATAATTTGTTAATCGTAAATGAATTATTGAAGAATAAAAATAATGAATTAATTCGTTAGTCATCAATAAAAATGATAACAAGGCCTGCAGGAGAGACATCTAACTTTCTTACTAACTGAATCACTTGAATTAGTTGAAGGAGGTTTCTACAGGAAGAGTTGCGACTCAGCGTCGGGGCGGGCGGGGGTTCATGACGAGTGGGCATGAACTGTAACCAAACAAACAAAAGTAAGCCAACCACGAATTCCTGAACCGTAAAGGGAACCACCCTGTAAAGTAAAGAGCCTCGCCTAAAGGACCAGACCCGGAGCTGAGAACAAGATCGAAAGCGCAACTTCTCATTCGAAGCATGAAAGTGGTCAGGTCACTTAGAGCCGGAAGAGATAGGAGTGGCCTTATAGAAGGTTGGGGGTTGCTCGAAATCTGTCAAATACGAGCCCTTCTTTCTCTATTCAATCCACGGCCTACCTCGCCTGTGTCACAACGGCTGATCTTTTGAGTGAGGGAAGCCGGAGCATTGGTCAAGAGAGAGAAAGAAGAGAAAGTATAGATCGAGAAAGTAACATTAGCTACACCAGACCAGACACACCTTTTTTTGTTATTCTATTTTTTGACTGACCGGATCGGTCGCCCCTCAACCAACTAAGACATTTCTGAGCAGTTCCCCTCACCCCCCTATCACTTAAAGGCAGAGCTAACCCTAAATTCTACTGCTCTCTAAAAGGCCTGCCTATTCTACTATGCTAGTTCACTCTAGAAGACCTAGTCTGACTAGAGTTAGTAGTAGTATAGATTAGTTAGATTCGTAGAACAGAAGAAGAGCCTTTACTTTCTATTATATTAGTAAAGCGCTAGCACCCGTATAGAGTAAGGAGATCTTCTGGATAGCTGCGAAGCCTTCAATGTTGGTATGGAGACTTTGCTTCCCGTTCGCTGAACAACCCCCCTGTTGCAACAAAACCTCGCCGGAGAGAGAGAAGCGAATTGAAAACCGGCCTCAAATCCCTTCGCAATCGAAGGTGAAAGCGGGACGACGAAAGCCTTTTTTCTTTCTTTGTCAGCCGACTTGAAAGGTGCTCTCAGTGTACCGCCATACGCACCCAGATATTAAACCAATTGTGGCTGGCCCAACGGTTTCCAGAATGCCGTTGTCATGATGTTGATCCGGCTTCTGCGACTACGGCATCCGCGTAGCTCCGAATACGCGCATTGGAGCTCTTCGCTCGATGTCCCGGGTCGCTCTGTTGTAAACCGCTGTCGGGCGGTGGCTTATTTCTAACCAATCTTCCCATTCATTCCCAGTGGATCCTTCTTCTCCCTAAGAATTGAACGAACCAAGTTCACCTATACGAGAGTGAGGAATAAAAACCAACAATCAACTTCCCACTTTTGATGTCCCACGATTCTGCTAGTTTAGAAAGTCAGTCGAAGGACAGGGGTCGCTAGGTCAGAAAAGCGATAACTATAAATTCTCCCCAAGTAGGATTTGAACCTACGACCAGTCAGTTAACAGCCGACCGCTCTACCACTGAGCTACTAGTTGTATTTGTTTTCGCACTTTTTATTTCAGTGAGGCTATGAGTGTTTAGATACGAATCCAACCCGAATTGTGCCTTGCAGAGAAGTTTGTGATGTTAATACTTTCAAGATTGCCACTTCGTTGATTATGACGGGGATCAAGCTGCCCGATCAGCTCACGGGGGTCGAGGGGGCAGCGCTCCTTGGCGGGTCCGGGGCAGCGCCCCGAAGCAAAATGCAAAAAAGCATTCCAAGTTGCCTGCCACGCTCGAGCGGAGAATGCTGAGTTCCAAAAGTTTATTCGCCTGCAAAAATACCGGATGCCGTTTTTTTCCGCTCGAGCGGAACTTTCCGCGCTCGAGTGTAGGTCCGCTCGAGCGGCCAATTCCACGCTCGAGCGTCCAACACTGCACAGGAAATACTGTATGGGTGCAATTCCCGCTCGAGCGCCAAAACCCCCGCTCGAGCGGACAGGTCAAAATCTGGGCAACTAGTTTTGGTTTCTAAACTCAAACAACCTGTAACAAACCTGCCAAACACATCCTATAACTTAGATACGAAGTAAAAAGGATGTAAACAAGATAATAATCAACTACCAACATCCACGGACACATGTCCGGATCACTGTACAACGAGGGTAAAATCCAGGATCGCTATAAAATCACTCAGTAAACCAGATCGAAAGCGCAACTTCTCATTTGAAGCATGAAAGTGGTTAGGTCAATTAGAACAGGAAGAGATGAGAGTAGCCTTATAGAAGATTGGGGGTTGCTCGAAATCTGTCAAATACAAGTCCATCTTTCTCTATTCAATCCACGGCTCAAACATAATAAAGATAACCAAACAAAGATAGCATAGATAAGAGTCTATCTCTAGTAGACACCTGAGTAGAACTCTAATAAAAAAAGACAAAGAACACTATAAATGAAAACACACTACTTTGCATCTACAGACACTTAATTAAAACTTTTAAAACTCAAAAGAGTCGACGGACTCTTCTATTCTAGTCTCTCTGGTCACTGAAGATGACATCCCTCACAATGAGCTCTTGCTGTTCTTTGATAAATAAAAATGATGAATTAATTCGTTAGTCATCAATAGAAATGATAACATAATTATTTTATTTATATGGCTAACAAATTATTGATGAAAATAAAACTAAAATCTTATATGATTTAAAATATTCAAGAATCTTAAGAAATTATGCTACAATTGTAAAATTTAATATATTAGAGCGGTCAAGGATCAATATGTAAATACAATAATTGCTGCCAACGAAGGCAGTATTTATACCCACATCAAACTATTAACGGTCTAATTGGAATACATAACTGTGCTGAAATGAAAGTCTTGCACATGTTTTTAAAAAATAAAAAAACAAAATGCTGTTGAACCATCGTTAGCATGACCATGACCATTTGAAAAATAAGAATGAACTATTAGTGAGGTTTTGGCATATGCTTTATTATTATTATTATTATTATTATTATTATGAGAAAAATAAATAGGGATGTTTGGGCAGTGCCTAGGAGAACCAAACAATTTTTTCAACTAAGACATTGCAAACTAAAGCACAATTTATAACAATTTCAGAACATAAATGTAATATATATTCAATAGAAAAGGTGTGCTTGCTCTAAACTGAGCTAGAAGAGCAAACAGATTACACATGTAATCACCACCCAAAATACAAGCATACCATTACACAACACTAATCCCATAAAACATTACAAGTCTCAAAAACATTAATACATATACATATATATATATAGTTTTCCATACTAAACAAAGGACACAGAAAAGGGTTATTTGCAAGTTGTTTATATATGAACTAATCCCTCCATAAATCTCTTCCTACTTGTATTCCAAAATCATGTTGTTCTCCGGGGCCAAACCAACACAAGCCCTCAGTATGTTCTCCAGCATTGCCCTCTGCTTTGACAGTGCATTCACCACCGGTGTGCCTGGAGGTACCTGTTTTTGTAACACATACACCATCGCATACAATGTTATTCATTTTGAACATCATAATTTTTAATAATTTCTTTTATTTATAAAACAGGATGAAAATTAAAACAAATTTGATATTATCTTAAACTAATTGCAAAAAAAAAAAAAAATACAGTTGGGAAAATAACCTATAAAAAGTAGTTCCAAAACTAGAGCTTAATTTGGGTACTGATATATACATTATCTACATGAATACACGTGGCAATGAAGGACTGTAAAAGCGAGATGAGGCCTTTAAAGGCATTCCTTTACAGTGATAGTCTTGTGAGTGATCATGCGATGCTATTTACTGCCCTGTACTCATCCCATTTCATTGTATTCACACACACACACACACACACACACCCCAAAATGGAATGGATTCCGTGTGCCTGTGGACTACAGAGGTCTCTAGACTTACGATTGGAACATCATCAATAAAATCATGATAAAATTTTAATGTGTACACCAACTAATGGTGGGTTGTCACAAATTCTATTTCCTGGCACGTGATCCTCTAACTCCAAAATTCATATCCCCAGTCCTAATGCACTTTTAAGGGCATGATCATGATTCAACATCATTGTGCACCACGAAGTGCATTAGTGATGGGGAAACTTGGATCCCTACCCCAATTTCTCTGCCACACATCCTATTTCTGATCACATGCTATGATCAAGTCTCATCCAACAATGTAGAACAACTTATTTATTTATTGCTTTTGATCAAAGGGTAAAAGAAATCATATTTTTAACGCAACGGGATCAAATACTCAACAGGGGTTAGGCAAGGGTCAAACATGTGGCTTTTTATAGTACTCTTTTTTGTGTGTATTTACAGAGCAAAAACTTGAATTGAAAGATGGAATGAAAAGGACTAATAGTTGTTGTGTAGGAACTTACAAGAGGAGCCTTGGTGAGGTAGCTGAGGATGGTAGCCACAGGGTGGAATGAGTGAAATTTGCCCTGCAATTATAAAAATTGCATATTAATGATGCATATAGGCATCATCATTTAATATTTGTATGAAAACATATGACCATTGAAGGACTCCAACGAAATCCATGTTAATTTTAGTAGTGGAAAACAAACCTCTCCTTCAGCTTTGAGTTGAATGCGAGTGCTAAGCTCGGCAAGAAGTACCAAGTCCAAGATGATTGGAGCGGCCAACAAGGAGTCCTCACAAGTGTTGTGAAGCACTATGGTGCTCTTCCCACCCATGAATATCTCTGATGTGTATTCATCCATTGCCCTCTTGCTATCTCCCACATATGGAACATACTACATCCAAAACACACTCACTTATGTATGACTAGGAAAACAAAATTTTTATACATCATCATCCACCAGAATGGCATGACAGTGATATTTTTGAAAATAAAAAGCAATCTTGATGAGTATACCTTGATGACAACAACATGGTCAGGATGCTCGCCGGGTTCATAAAGGATGGCATTGCTGGAGACCATGTCGTCCACAACGTTGCTTTTGGAGATCTCTTTGGATCTGAAGGTTTGAGGGGCAGACAGATTCATGCCATCATTGTTTCCCAAATGATTGTAACTCACAATTGATGTTGGCTGTCACCACAAACCCATCATCAATTTTCTCAAATTATACCCTAAAAAAGTCTATACTCTCTTTGAAAAGCATTAACTAATCATCAATCACCAAAATTACATGTACAACATACTGTATATGTATGTATGCTACAAATTCAGAAGAAATTTTCAGAATAATTTTGAGAATATAGTTTGGCAGAATGCACTCATTTCTGGTGAAGTGTGGGCACTATGCATTCAGAAAATTTTGTGTTCCTAAACCCCCTTTTCTTGCGAGTAAACATTAATTAAAGAAACTAAAAGATTCAAAACAAATTAAATGTACAAGGAGTTTAACCACTGCCAAAATTGGCAGCATAGAAAAGGGTTCAATGAAAAATAGAAAATTAATTACAAATCAATGAAGTGCAGTAAGACATATGTTTGATGCAAGTAAAAAGTGTTTGTCTTCCCTTTCCCTCTATTGATTTGTAATTAGTTTTCTCAACCATCACTTTATTTATTAAAAATAAACAAACAAACAAAATAAGGAATGATAAACATACCTTGATACCAGCCCCAACAAGAAAATCAACCAACACAGACTTCATTTTGGTCTGACCACTCTTGAAGTCATCTCCACCAATCAAACTGTTCCCCCTAATGGCCAAATCAATCAGTCCTGAAAATACCATATATCCCAATAAACAAACTCATAAGAAACTCTAATTACTAGCATAAAATGGTTAAGTTTGTTGAGTTAAGAAGAGTAAAAACCTGGGACAAAAGTGTTCTGTGGGCTGCCATTAATGAAGGGAATGTTTTCAAGGACACAAGCAATGGCATACAAGGTGGAAGGAGAAATCTCAGATTCATTCTTATCCACAGAAGCCAAGAGGCTCTCCATTGTGTCATTTAGCCCAACTATTACATTACTGTATCTCTCTGTGTTAGCTGTCCACAGCACCACCACCTTATCTACCTTGTTTTTCTCCTTAAACTCCCTATATTCGTATACACACAAACACTACATTAGCTAACATCAAATTAAGTGTTGTTGAGCTGCAATCAATGATAAATGAGCAGCCAAAACATTTTTTTAAGTGTTTTTGACTAGTACCTCATATCTTTGATGATTTGTTGAACTTGGTCTTTCTTAGTTCCTTTGATCACGTTGTTAGCACGTGACCCTTGATTGGCAGCAATGAAATCAGGGTCAAAAATTCCAGGGAGTGGGACCATGGATTCCATGTAGGGCCTGAGCTGCTTCTGCAGATCAATGTCGAAAACCTTAGCCCTAGCCATGGCATCTGCCAAGTTCATGTCACTTATGTCCCAACCCCCAAACACTACGTCATCTGGGTTCACCTGCTCATTTTGCAATTCATACACTAATTAGTTAAAAAATAAAAATAATATTAATAATATAATAGAAAACACACACACAAAAGTTTGTATTCATAAATCTTTGTTCAACTATCTCAACACATTCTAACCAAACCATATAATGAAAATTTCATCATTTTTTTATTTTTTTCCCTTTTCAATTAATAGGAGTAGGATACAGAAAGAAAATGTTGCATCATGGCGTTAGTAAAGTCTCGTTTGGCAATATCACTTTTTAACCTAAAAGTTAAAAAGACACTAAAAAAACCAAAAGGCTAATAACATCTATTAAAAAGTCAAATATTCCATTTTTCCTCTGTTTCTTGCACATCTTTTCGTAAAAAATCAAAAAGTCATCTCAAATATACTAAGTTTTTTCCATCATATTTTAACTAAAAAACCAAAAAGTTACTAAAAAAATCCTGCCATCAAATGAGGCCTAAAACTCAAATTCAAGATTCACATTAATTAAGGAAGCATTTCATTCACTAAACTAATCATTAATGTTATATGATGGGTATTTCAAGACTCTGAAAATTTTAAAATATGATCTTATCTTAGGACATAAAATGTATTGAAACAGATAAATTTTGAGTATGATGGAGAATCTTTAGCCATACCATGGGTAGTAAGCTCTTGAATGGGGCATAAATCTCCTCTCCATTGAAAGACCCAACTCGGATTGTGGATGCCTGGGTGAGTGACCCAAAATAGTTGGCTTGTTGCACCTTATCTTTGGTTGCCCATGATATTCCTCTGAAATATTTCAACACCCAAATCTTTAATTTCATAAAATTAAAAAACAACATAAAATCCATTTTCATGTATCACATTCACTAAAATACAAATCCAAATATCACATCAGTTTCCTCTCAAATCGTTTTAACCGTCTTATCCCTTCAACTTTATAAACAGTTTAAACCACTCAACTATTAAAAACAACACAAACATCTCTTATCAATTAATAAATTTTGATGATTGAGAATCTACATGTACCATTTTAAAGTTGGGTATATAAGATGGGTGAGGGCTTAGAGTATAATTAATTAACCATAATAAAATTGACAAGAAAGGAATGAAGGAAACTCACTCCCGATTAGCAATAACACCACCAGTCAAGGTTGAACCATTGTTTCCACCCCAACCAACAAGCATAACCCTACCAACAAAAACTAATCACATCATTACACAAAACATACATAAATATATAAATTGAAGGATTTTGTCCTGATCTCATGTTTCAAAACACTTGTCTACCACACGATCTATATTTTAAATGGTGTCATGGAAAATAAAATTAGAAACATATAGAGATTTGGAACAGAGAATGGTTATATGATGAATAAAGATATGGAGGAGGGAGTGGAAGCAAACCCTAGTTTGGGGACATGGGTATCAGTTTTGAACTCGTATTTGACAGATTTGGGCTTGACAGTCCATTGATAGGTGCCATTCTTGTTCTCATGAACAAGCTCTGTGGTCTCATAGTTGTACACAGAGTGAATCTCACTCTCTGTGTACTTCACATTAGGGCTTTCTACCTTAAAGCTCTCAATAAACATTTTTCCCTTCCTCAGGTTACCTAATTATTATGAAAATCTTAACAAAACCCAAAACCAAGAAATGAAAAGAATGGAGAGGGAGAGAGAGATAGAGAAACACTCGTAGAGCAAAGAATGAATGGACAGAAAACCCCAAAGTGTTGTGTGTAAACTCTCTCCGTGAATTTCTGGTGAGGTGGTGGTAATGTGGTGGTGGTGGTGATCTCTCATGTGGCACCCCAAGGATTACATATATAGGCGAGGAGTGTGGTGTGGAGGTTATACGTGGCTTGATTTAGTGGAGGGTGACCCCACATTTCTAAATTATTTTTGGCTCTTACTACGGAGTGAAGTTTGGACCATGCAAGATACTTATTTAAATTTTCAAAACTGTGAGATCTTAAAAATATTATTGTGGTCAAGTTTGACATCTTTTAAAAAATTTAAAAAGTTATAAATTTACTATCCTATTTAAATCACATCATCTCGTTTAAGTCACATCACCTCTCTAACACATCACTTCAAATCCAACCCAAATCCAACTCATATTTCATAAAAAGTCAAAAAATACATTTATTTAGTCTTTTCAAATTTGGCCTAAATTTTTTATTAAAGATGTTATATGAGTGTGGAACTCATGGATCTCATATATATTTAGTTAAATTTTTATTAAAATTTTTAGGATTTCTAACTTCATTCTTAAATTTTTCATTAAATTTAAATAAAAAGTCACACCACCCACTACTAAAAAGCAGGGCTTTTGAGTCGGCAGCTTGCCGTCGCAAATAGCGGATTTGCCGACGCAAAAACTTTTTGCGACGGCGTTTCGACGGCAACTCAAGGGACGAAAATGGTGGGGTCGCAAAAAGTTTTTGAGTCGGCAATCTGCCGACGCAAAAAGTTTTAATTTTTTGAGACGGTAGATTGCCGACTCAAAAAGTGGTTAAATGTTTTAAAAAATTTAACTCATAATTTTCTCACTGAGGCTCCCAAGGTTCGAACACACACCCATTTGGACAAGTTGACCCAAGGTCAACGCACTACACCCACTTCACCACCACACCTCTTTCAGATATTAAACGAGATATATATTATTTATAGTATATACACTCAATATTAATATAAAAGTATATGTATAAATAAATATATTTATTAAATATAATCAAGTAAATAAATATATATCTTGGTTATAAATTTTTTTTTTTTTGCTACGGCATCAGTTGCCGACACAAAAAGGTCTAATTTTTTGCGTCGGCACAAATTTGCCGACGCAAAAGGTCTATGCCGACTCAAAAGGTCTATCTTTTGCGTCGGTAAATTCAACCGACTCAAATAATACTATCAAATATTAATTTTTTGTGTCGGCCAACGGTGCCGACACTAAAGGTTTGGTATTTGAGTCGGTAACTCTGTGCCGTCTCAAAAAGGCTACCTTTTGCGACGGTAAAATTTGCCGACTCAAAAAACCGACTCAAAAGACCCTTTCTTTAGTAGTGACCTCTCTAACACATCACTTCAAACTCAACCCAAATTCAACTCATATTTTATAAAAAGTCAAAAAATACACTTATTTAGTCTTTCCAAACTTGGCCTAAATTTTTTATTAAACATGTTATATGAGTGTGGAACTCATGGATCTCATATATATTTAGTTGAATTTTTAATAAAATTTTTAAGATTTGTAACTTCAATCTTAAATTTTTCATTAAGGCTAAGTTTGGGAAGTCCCAAATAAGTCAAAAAGCCAAAAAATTACTCAAAAAGTTAAAAAGTTAACACTATTCACCAAAAGTCAACAATTACGGCTGCACAACTCCCAATTCAAATTTTCCTCTACAAACCAATTTTTACAATTTTTTATTACACATTTTTCCATAAAAAGTCAAAAAGTTAGCCCAAACATCCATATTTTCAATCTCAATTTTTTAGTCCAAAAAGACAAAAAGTACACTTATTTAGTCTTCCCAAACTTGGCCTAAATTTAAATAAAAAATTGATTTGATATACTAAAGCTTTAATTGTTTCATTGAATTTGATTGGTTGTCCGGTCAATTATCAGGACTAGAGCATAATTTTCCCGTGCCCATCATCCATCTGGTTGTCCCATCAATCATTCACCCAATTGATCGGTTGATTACCTGCAAAATCTAATCAAAAGTTCAAAGTTCTTATAAAATTTGGTCTCGCTTTCATTTGATGTATTTGATATTATGGTTAAAGTAGAAAAAATAAACGTGTATGATCAAATTTAAATTTAAGGGTTGTTTGGAGTATTTTAAATAAGTGTGCTTTTTATTTTTTTGAACTAAAAAATTAAGGTTGAAAATATAAATGTTTGGGTTCATTTTTTGACTTTTTATGAAAAAATGTGTAATAAAAAATTGTAAAAATTGATTTGTAGAGAAAAATTCAAATTGGGAGTTGTGCAGCCGTAATTTTGACTTTTGGTGAATATTGTTAACTTTTTAACTTTTTGAGTAATTTTTTGACTTTTTAACTTTTTTACAAGTTCCCAAACTTGGCCTTAATAAAATGTCTGAATAAGCATTAAAAATGTTCTAAGAACACACAAATATTTTGGGGCAAATTTCATTTTAGTCCCTGTGGTTTGGGCGGGGTGCAGTTTTCCTCACTGATATTCGGAAATCAGCACATAACCTCCACGTGGTTTGTGGATTGAAATACATAGTAACTTCTGTTAGCAGAAGTTGTAAATTGACAGTTATATCATTTCTCTCTCTCTCTCTCTCTCTCTCTCTCTCTCTCTCTCTCTAAAAAGCCAAAAAGCCAAAAAGCCAAACCCACTTCCCAAACGGAGGCTGAATAATTTTTTAACTTTTTAAGTTTTTTACAAGTTCCCAAACTTGGCCTTAATAAAATGTCTGAATAAGCATTAAAAATGTTCTAAGAACACACAAATATTTTGGGGCAAATTTCATTTTAGTCCCTGTGGTTTGGGCGGGATGCAGTTTTCCTCACTGATATTCGAAAATCAGCACATAACCTCCACGTGGTTTGTGGATTGAAATGCATACTAACTTCTGTTAGCAGAAGTTGTAAATTGACAGTTATATCATTTCTCTCTCTCTCTCTCTCTCTCTCTCTCTCTCTCTCTCTCTTCTTCTTCCTCTATTTTCACATTTTAGACATACATATACATATATACATATCAAACCCAATTCATGGTTTACTGTCCAAATTTTTTCTTCATCATATGCAAACCCAATGCACATATATAAATCCAAACCCATTTTTTTGATCATATACAAACCTAGTTCACTTATTTCATACATTGGAAGGCAAGATAGTGTGTTTTGCAGTCAAATATATTGTGTTAGAAATTGGGCGCCTATGTGGCATGACCCTTTGAACCTGAACCTTTTGAACCTTATCCATATAAGTTTGAATTTGAATTCAAAACTTATTTGGATAACCATTCAAAATATCTATATCTATCATATCAATATATATGGATAGATGGATAGATTGATATATATGTGGTTATATATTATATGGTTAATCTATGAGATACGTTTATCAGATATACGTTATGTGATTTTTACCCATAACCATTTTTTCCATACTCTCTCTCTGACTCTCTCCCATAAAACAACGATCAAGTCATTTTGCACTGTGACTTGTGTGGGTGATACTCATTTTGTAGTATTATTCCACTGCTGGGTTCATTGTTCAGAGTTTGGAAGCACGTGATTTACCCACGAGATTCTTCGCTACAAGGTATGATTCTGATATTTTATCCGCTGTGTTATTATGCCTTTTGATTTACATTGGTATCAGGGCCTATATGGGTTTTTTCGTGCTTATTTTTTATGCATTAAAATATGTGTATTTTTTTAATATAAATATATACACATTATATGCATGAAAATTAATGGAGGAGGAAGATGAAGTGCACGGTTTTTTGCACTTCAACTCTCATTGATTGAGAATGTGATACACGTCATTTTTATGTTCATTAAATGTTATTTTTAATGCCATAAATGTTTTTATTGTGAAAAATGGAGTCCGGTAGTACAAAAATCAAACCAGAAAACACCCTGGAAGGTGGAGCGTGGGCCTCACGCGCCACCTGATGCCATAGGAGGCTTCCACGCGCCTCCACGTGCTACAACGCGCTCTCACACGCCTCCATGCGCTCTCACGCGCCTCCACGCGCATGCTGTTCCGCGCTTTCCACGCGCGCGCCCTCCGCGCCACACACGCGAGCCGCGTGCTGAGCTGTGCGTCGAGCCGCGAGCTGTGCCGTGTGCTGAGCCGCGCCGTTTTTCCTCCGCCGGCTTAAGCGTGGTTGGTACCATTAGACTCAGAATTAAATTTTTTATTTCTGTAAAATTTTCAAAATTTTATGAAAATAAAAAATATTTTTCCTGAAATAATAATTCATAATTTCTGCTTTAAAATGCATCTGGTGTTGCATGATTAAGTTTCTGTGGTTAAATTTTTTATTGTAGACTATTGTTGTAGTTTACTATTTACTGGTATGGTTATTGCATTTTACCAGATTCTGAAATATTTATTTCTAATTTTATGTGTGTTTATTAGTTATTTAAAATTTCAGAAAAAATTCTAGAAAAATTCAGAAAAATTTCAAAAAATTTCAGAATGATATACTTTCTGTTATGGCATAATCTGAATATTAAATACAATATATTGTTATTTTTTACATATGTTGTAATTAGAATAGCATGATTAATTATTTTTTTGACATTGCACATATGAGGTTGAGATCAATTAGATAAGAGCTTTTGTGCTTTTAGTTTTGACGAAGGTGGCGAGTATCTATTTGAGTTATTTTTTAGAAAACTCTGTGAAGAGAGATTGATGCTTAGAAAATTGATTATTCCTATTTGTAGATTAACTCCCGAAAACTAATATTTTGCGCATAAATTAAATTAAATTTTAGATAATTGTCACTTGTGGCGCAAGAGATGATTACGAGCATGGCAGATTTTCGATCTTGCGACTTGTGTAATATTGTCACTATTTAATTTAAATTTTTGTGACAAAATTATATTATGCTAATCAAATTAATCCCAATGCGAATTTATCTCTAAATTGACTTAGCTTATGGAAGTTAATTGGTTGACCCAGACTTAGTAAAAATGTTCAAATGTGAACAATTTAATCCCATTCTTTAGATGAACAAAGTCTTGGAGACTTTAGGTCAAGCCTTAATTGAGCCAAAGTAAGGAAACATGACTCAAAGTCGCCGT